CCCCAGCCGGGGCGCCGCTCTGCCTGACGGCCGCAGGCCCCAACCACCGCGGCAGCCACCTGCCACCCCTCTTGGCTCGCTGCTGCGTGGACGAGAAGCTGCCTGGAGGGTCGCAAGGCCGCCGGCGATTGGTGCTCCGGCGGCAGCGTCGTGGCTGACGAGCCCGTGTCCCTCCAGCCTGAAGTGCGGACCGTCCCGCACCCCACGGGGAGCCTGCCGACCCCTGCAGTATTAGCCCCAGCCCGCAGCCCTGGCTCCCACACTACCCGTGGGAGCTCGCGCCGTCCCCGGGGGGCGCTGGCTCTTTCTCTTCCCAACCAGACTGCGCATTTCACTGTGTTTACTCGCTTAGGGAGCACGCTTCCCTTCCTCCTCCCCTTCCCTTCCCTTCCCTTCCCTTCCCTTCCCTTCCCTTCCCTTCCCTTCCCTTCCCCTTTCCCCTTCCCTTCCCCTTTCCCCTTCCCCTTCCCCTTCCCTTTCTTTCCCCACTTCACTCCACTTTATCTTTCTTCTCAAAATATAATTGCTACAGGGTGTGTGTGCTCACCAGAAAGACAGAGAGACAGAAAGTGAGAAATTACGCCCCCCCTCCTGGGGGGGATGGGCACGCCGAAATCCCTTTTCCTCCATTCTCCTCTTGGAATCTTGGGCATGCAGGCCACAGAGACAGAGACAGAAAGCAATTCATCGCCCCCACTCCAGGGGGCATGGCCATGCTACAATCCCTTCTCCACTCTCCTCCAGGGATTTTAGCCAGGCAAAACCGCTGGATCAGGTGGGAGTCCGCTGCCTCAGCCACTACCTGCCTGTGGGCGGAGGGGTCATTTTCTAAGTCAGGGTTCGCCCATGCGATTCCAGAGAGCACTCGTCAGCCATTGCTGTCCCGCCCCGGTCGTCTTGGTCCATGAGAGAGCACGTTCCCGTGAGGGCGAGACTCACCTTTCCGGGGTCTGGCCCCGTGACCCTCTGCGGTCCCCCCACCCGAGGCCCGCTGGCATGTGGAGTGTGGCTGTGCTGGTCCCTCTGTTGCAGACACATGTGGTCCCCCACACTCAGTCCCCCGCCACTGCTTCTCTGCCCTCGCCCTGTCTCAGCCCAGTGGACACGGGAGAGCATGTCACCATCCTGAGCTGAAATTGTCCCCTCCGAATTCAAATGGAAAACCCTAGCCGGCCCCTCGGAGTGTGACGGTTTGGAGAAGGGTCTCTCAAGGGCATTAGAGAGAGAGGAGGCCAGGCGTGCCGGTAGAGGCTCGGGGACACCAGGGACGGTGGGCCTGCGAGCCAACAGAGGGGCCTAGGGTGCGGTTACACCCCTGCCACCGCCCGTGTGGTGACGGCGGCCCTGGCCGGTGGGCAGTTGTGCCTGCACACGCAACCCCTCTGGCTCCGCCGTCTGTCGCACAAGCTCACACTGTCCCTCTCCGAGCCCCTGGAGCGGCCTGGGCTCTGCCTGCACTCGCTCTCCTCCTGTGATCCAGCCGTGGCCTGGCCAGCTTCCCCCCACACCTGGAGGAGCGCTGAGCGGGACCCAGAGGGCTGTCAGCCGTAGGGTGCAGCACCTCGGCCACACCACAGCTGCGGGAGCCCGGGAGCGGCAGACCCCCGCAGTGCCGCTTTGAAGCCACAGTCCAGGGCTGAGGCCGAGGCCTCGCTAGCTTGGGGTTTCCGTGTGACTTCCAAGGGCTTCACTGAGCGTCCGGTTGGGGCGTGTGGAGACACCTCGGGAGGTCTCTGGAGGGCAGGCATGGCTGCCGTCTGAGGGAGCCGTGTCAGTGATTCTCGGCGCTCACCGGAGAGTGCGCTCTGCCTGTACGGCGGGGTCACGCTGCGGCCCCTCTCCATTCCCATGCCCGCACGCCCCCGCCCCCATGTCCTCCAAGCCATCGGGACCGGATTTAGAGTCATGGTTGCCCATGTGGGATCCATGTCCCCAGGTGCAGTGCACTGAGGCCGGGCCCAGGCAATGTTCGTTTTGTTTGTTTTTGGTTTTTTTCCTATCAAAATGAGCAAGTGAAAATGAAAACAAACCAATGAAAACGATTCTCAGGAGGATAGAACGGAATCCAGAGTGACTGCGACACGTTTTCGGCACCTTCTGGTTTCCAGCGACGACTTCCTAAGTCAACACCGAGCAGGAAGGTGGACGGCGCAGTGTCCACAGGGCCAGGGGGGCGGCAGGCCGGTGCACACGGCACCTTGTCCTCAGTGCAGCAGGGCCGTGCTTGGTCCCAGAATGAAGGGGCTGGGCTAAGAACGGGTGAGCAGCCTGCTGGGGACCTTCAGCAGAGGACTGGAGATGGCAAGAAAAACCAGATGGAGGGCCAGCAGGTGGTGTGGCGCTTAAAGCTCTGGCTGTCACCTGGCTGACTTCACGGTTCGCGTCCCGGACCTGGTGGCTTAAACTCACGCCGGGCGCGTGTGCGTGCGTGCCCAAGATCCCGAGAGGAGAGTGGAGGAGAAGGGATTGCGGCGTGGCCGTCCCCCCAGGGATGATTTCTCACTTCCCCCCTTTTTCTCCAAGGAGGACACACACCTGATAGCAAAACTAATCTTTATGTAAAGTGTTTACCAAGCGAAACAGTTCTTAGCCACGGTCATGAGCACACAGTGGCTCTGCTAGTGTTTTTATTTGGCTTGCCCTGGACAGTGCGGAGGGCTGATGGCGCCTAGTTTCGTCCCAGGGCAGATACTCAGGGAGCCTTGATCGTGCTGAATGGCATTTGCAGGAGCAAAAAACGGCCGCAGGGGGTCTGTGGCGGCGATTCTGGTGAATGTGAAGATGTGGGACCCGTCACGGACGTCAAAAAAGGAAAGGACCCCCATGTCCATGTCCAGGAAGACCCCCAGCCGCTGTAACTGAGGGCTCACCCAGAGGGCGGTCAGAGGCACGGTGCTGGCCGAGAACAGGCCTCCGGTCCGCACACCCATGGTCCAGAAGCCCAGCTCCGACGACAGGAGGACCGCCCCCTGCCGGGGCACCGACTCTCTGCAGACGCCCACGTCCCACTCCCTGCTGCCGCCCACGTCCACCTCCCAGTAGTGGCGGCCGGAAGTGAAGCGAGGGGAGCCCAGGACGCACAGTGCGTAGGTGAACCTCTCAGCGTGCCTTCTCCGGGCCTGCTGGAAACGCCTGCAGCGAACCTCCCTCAGGTCTTCAGAAATGATGAGATAGTTGTTGGCGGTGTCCACGTCCAAGGCCACGTTCACTGTGGAGAGAAGACGCCGTCAGCACACGCGCACCGCAGACTCGCATTCCCTGCCGGGCCGGGCACTCGCTCCGAGTTTCCTTGCACAACCTTCCCCAGCCCTGACCAGGGACCGAGGGGAAGAAACGGTAACAAGTCCCTTTTGCTCATAGCGGGACTTCTTTTTACGTTGTGGATTGTTCGGTTAGGTTTGTCATCAGTGGGAAGGTGTGCGAATTTCAGAGTCTGTGTCAGTGGGGAAAGTGTGCCAATGAAGGGACGTGACTGATCTCAGTGTTACTGTGCAGATTAGCACAGAATCTGTCAAAACATGGACGCTTACTATACAAGTGATGGGAAATATCTTTCTGGCTGCAGAATAATATTGACAGTAAAATATTTCAGATTCCTGTCTGCCTCCCCCGTCGGGTCTCAGCAACGACACTCAGGGCTGAGCCGTAGCGAGGAGGAGCCAAGAAGGCCGGCTCTAGGGCGTCCCCAGGACTTGGGTGGGACCGTGTGCGCCCGGACCTGCAGGGGTTCCGAGGGAGGGCAGTGTGGATGGCCCGTATTGTCAGGCGGCCCTGATGGCCTGCATGGAGGAGGGGCCTGTGCCGCCCTCAGAGGTGAACCCCAAACCTGTTAGGCTGCAGGGCTCCCCGTGACATAGCTCAGGGGGAGCTGGAACTGCCTCCCGGGGAGGGGCTCAAGGATAGAAAATTTCAGAGCAGGTTTTACTGGGCCATGACGCATTTTTGCAGGGAAAACCAGAAAACTACACCGTGACTTTCCCAGTGGCCTACGAGTACCCTAAATGCAAGTCTGCACGTGGTGAGAAGGCAACTGGTCAGAAACAGCGGTTTCCCCGGGGGTAGTCTGGATGGTCAGCTCAGCGCCCACTGGGGGCGCGGAAAGCAGGACACAGCAGGAGGAGCGAGGACTTGGTGCGTTGTAAGGCGCTCGGGTTCTGGGTTTCCGCACACCTGCTCTGCCACCCCGACGTGGGCATGCTGTGTGCAGAGCTGAGCTCAGACAGCCCACGTCAGCCCTGCAGCCTTCCGCTGATCGCGGTGCCAGGCCACAGCGCTGTGAGAAGCGGGAGCCCTGGGCAGGACGGGGGGCAGCGCTCAGGCTCTGAGCCGGTCTGCATGAAGCCTGCGGGCGGGGAAAAGCCTTCTCACAGTGGCCGCCCACCCTCTGGAACTGGACCAGCGGGGGCTGCTGCCCTGTGGGCATTGCCTGTGTTTGTGCCAGCTTCTTGGGGAAAGCCCAGTGGTACCTGGGTGGGATCTGCGTTTCAAAGGGAGCGTCTGGTAATTTAGAGTTCCGAATTTGAAAGCCCAAGTCCTGAGCCAGTGTGCAAAGAAAGGCTCGCTGAGCTGGGTGCGGGGGCTCAAGCGCCTGTGGGCACAGAAGAGCAGTGAGCAGGCCTCCGCAGGGGGCACTGTGTCGCAGGACAACCCATTCGAAGCGTGCCGACGCCAGGCGGCACCCGCTCAGTGGTGACGGTGTGGAGCCAGGTGCCACCAGAGCAGGCGTCCTCAGGACCCCCGGTGGTGCTCCTCACACTAAGGGGTGTAGCTGGGGAGGGGAGGACGGGAACATGAGCTAGTGCCCGTTACTGGGGAGACGTTCGGGACCCGCTTTCCCACCCTCTGTGGCTTGGGGCGGGGCAACTCCTTACCGTGGAATTTCTTCACCCTGGGGTTCATCTGGAGAGCCGCTCTCAGCTGCGGCTCCAGCTCCTGGATCTTGGAAACCAGCTCCCCCAGGTGGGACTTGGACCTGATGTCTTCCTTCTGAGAGACCACTGGGCAGAAGGGGCACAGGAAGCCCTTCCCTTCAGGCTCTCGCTCCAGGGAGCCAAGGCAGGGGAGGCAGCAGACATAGCCGCATTTCAGGAGCACAGGCTTCTCCAGGTAAGCGAGGCAGATCAGGCAGCAGCTCGCGTCTCTGAAGTGCTCGGCCATGGCCAGGCCTGGGGAGACGGGTGTGAAACACGCTTCTGTGAGCTGAACGATCTTAGTCCTTAGGCCCCTCACCTTTCTCTCCCCTAAGAATGATGTTTTGCTATAGGGCGTGTGCACTTGTCAAAGAGAGAGACCGAGAGCGAGAAACCCCCTCGTGGCAATGGCTGTGCGCAGTCCCTTCGGGGGTCTGGATCGAGATGTACTCCATTTTCCTCTTGGGATTTTGGGCACACACGGTCTGGCGTGAGCTTCAGTCCACCGGATCTGGGACTCAAACTGTGGTTGACCACGTGGGAGTCCAGTGACATAGCCATTATGTCACCCACTGGTCCCAGTCCAGGTGACGAGCTGTAGGTGCTGGCGACGTCACCGCTCTCTGTCTGCAGCACTCGGTCTTCAACACATGACCTCGAGGTCCCAGGTGAGTGACCCGGGGTCCAGAACTCCCGATATCCGAGATGCTCCCTGAAGGACATGATTCACGCTGAGCTTTGTTTATTCTTCTGTTGGTTTTTGTTATAGAGTGAGTGCACGTGCCAGAGACAGGGGAAGGGAAAGTGAGAAGCCATCCAGGGGAGGGCACGTCTCGGTCCCTCTCTGTTCTCCTCGCAGGGTTGAGGGCAGGCACACGCACTCAGCCTGTGTGATTTCCAAGATGCTGAGCCCGGGATTTGAACCAGAGTTGGCCATGTGGAATCCAGCGCCCTAACCACCACACCGCCTGCTGGCCCTCACCCTTGAGCCTGCAGTCAGGGCTGAGAGTTGTACCCGGCTGTGCCACATGGAGGAGGGGGCTGTTGCACACCTGTAGTGACATGGCGGTCAGCTGAGCAGACCGCTCTAGGGAGGCGAGGTTCGCACACGACAAGAGAAAAGTGAGCACGAACCATCTCACCGACCATCTCACCGACGACACTCACAGGTGACCACGGGTTCAAGTGATTACACTGTGACATGAAAATAACTGAAACTGCTTCTCGCTGTCGTCAGTGTGCACTGGGAAAAGGCGGTTACCATCTCGGGGCATGCTCCACTTCTAGAGGATGGTGCTGGGCCAGACCCAGCACACTGCAGCCCCTCAGGGGACCCTCCTGGACGTGCCAGAAGCCCCAGCAGAGCCCAGGTGGAAGAAGTCTCTGGGGCTTGGCTTTGCTCAGACAGCACTTGCTAAGTTAATGAATGACTGCCCAACCAGCCCTGCCCCTTGTTGAAATGTGAGAAGTGAAAACAAACCCGCAGAGAGATTGCACTCACCCTTCCGCTGAGCTCTTCCCAGCTGCTTCCGCCGCAGCTCAACAGCTCCAGTCTGGAGGAGACCTAGCTCCGAGGGCTTTTATAGGAGAGCCCTCCCTTCCCACCTCTTCACTCCCCTTTAAGCTCATCTGGCTTTGATTTAATTAGCCTATAAGCGGATTTTTTATGGCCATTCCAGAGAGGTTACACAAACAAGCACTATTGTAGCAAGTAACCCGGACAGAATACTGATACAGTTATTGTGTATTAGATCTTAAATATTACATCCGCTGATGCTGGGAACTGTAGTTAGGATGGAAATTTAATTTAATTAGGATGAACTGTAATTAGGATGAAATTTAATTAGGATGGAAAGTACTTTGCATTATTGAGACCAGCAGTTGGTGTAATGGCTACGTCACTGGACTCCCATGTGGTCGACTGTGGTTCGAGTCCCGGACCCAGTGGCTTGAACTCAACGCTTGGGGCCTGTGGCTGGGTGCGCCTCTGGGCGCGTGTGCGTGCGTGCCCAAGATCCCGAGAGGAGACTGGAGGAGATGGGATTGTGGTGTGGTCATCCCCTCTGGGGGGGGATTTCTCGCTTTCTGTCTCTCTGTCTCTGTCTGTCTTTCTGGTGAGCGCACGTGCCCTATAGCGAAAACCTCTCCAAAAAAAATATGATAAAAAGTACTTTGCATTATTATTAAACCGCATGAGACAAATGTAGCTACTTCAACTGCTTACACTTCCCCCTCTGCTCCTGATGAGCACCTGCACGCCCACGTGTGAGGGCGGGGAGCCCCTCGCCCCCGCAGGCCCGAGCATGCCCTTCCTCGGCCACAGGACCTCGGGCACCTGTGCATGTACCCAGCACCTTCCCACGTACTCCGGGCTGGAGCGAAGTTCAGTCACCTTATGGGCTCCACCCCTCTCTCTCTTTTTATTCTTTCTTTCTTTGTTTTTCTTCTTTTTCTCTTCCCTCCCTCCCTCCTGTCTCTCTCTCTCTTTGCCAGAGGACACATGCAGCCAGAGGGATTCAGGGAGAGAGGGCGAGGGCGGACGCATTCCCCAGTGGGACAGGTCAAGCCGCGTCCCTTCCCATGTCTTCGTCCCATCTGGATTCGGAGCACTTGCACACATGCGCCTGGCGTGCTTCTCAGCCTCTAGAGTCGGGGCTTGGGTCCGGTGGCCGTGTGGAATCCGGCTCCTCTACAGGGCCCTGGTGCTGCCCCGGTTCGGTTATTTAAATGATATCTCTTCATCCAATTTCTCATTTTTTGGTGGTTCTTATGTATTCTGTGAAATGGGAAATAGTAATTCTTTTTTTTGAAGAGGTTTTTTGCCATAGGGCACTCGCGAGAAAGACAGAGAGAGACAGAGAGACAGAAAGCGAGAAATCACCCCCAAGAGGGAATGGCCACGCCGCAATCCCTTGCCCTCCATTCTCCTCTCGGGATCTTGGGCATGCACGCACGTGTGCCTGGCGTGAGTTTAAGCCACCAGGTTCAGGACTCAGTCCACGGTCAACTACATAGGAATCCAGCGACATAGCCATTACACCAACTGCTGGTTCTGGAAAATAGTAATTCTAATTAAATGGATCCTTAATATGGTGGCTACCACAACCCCAAAAAAGTAGTTATATCTTAACACCATTAAGTAGAAAAATAGGTATATTGTGACCAGCAGTTAGCATAATGGCTACATTGCTAGACTCTCATGTAGTCGAAAAAAATTAATTACTATTAATTTTATTATTATAATTATTTTGATTTTTTCTTAAAATTATTTTATTTTATCTTTATTTGCTTATTTTATTTTAACTTGACCATAAAGGAACAGAGTGAGAGAGAGAGAGAGAAAGTGAGAAAGCAAGCCACCAGGTCTGGGACTTGAACTGTGGTTGGCCATGAGGGAGTCAGCGCCCTTAACTGCCATGTTACCTGCTGGCCCCAAAGAATTATTTGATTTAACTTTATTTATTTTAATTTGACCAGAGACAGAAAGAGGGAAAGTGAGAAAGCCAGATCCGGGATTTGAACTGTGGTCGGCCATGTGAGAGTCCAGCGCCCCAACCACCATGCCACCATGGGCCTTGTTACTATTTTTTTAATTTGACCAGAGACAGAAAGAGGGAAAGTGAGAGAGCCAGCCGCCAAGTCCAGGACTCGAACCGCAGTCAATCATGTGGGAGTCCAGCGCTTTAACCCCCACGTCACCTGCTGGGCCCTGGAGAAAAGTCTGTCTGGCCCCATATTGAGTTACTTACAAGGTATGTGGAGTATTAGCAAGATTTGCACTGGGATGAAGTCGGTGGACATTCGGAAGAGAGGAGATTTCTTCCCACAGCTCCGCTGCCCGGAGCACACTTGCTTCCTCAGTAACTCGTGGACCTCGGCTGCGTCCGTAGCCCTTCTCCTGGCTGACTGCAGCCCGCGGCTCCAGCCTCCAGTTGGTCTCACACGACGGTTCTGGGTAAGAAATCAGCCCGTGGAAGGTTGCGGGCAGAGCGTTGCAGCTCTGACTGAAGCTGTGGTCTGTGCGTGGCACGTGAGTCGTGGTCACCAGCAGTCCAAGGGCAGGACGCAGGCACTGTGGGGCCCCGTGGGTCAGCAGTGAGGGGCAAGTGGTGGGAAAGCAGGAGCCCAACGCATCTGCGACGTGCAGCAGCCACAGGAGGCCGTCGAGAAATGCGGTGATGTGAAAGGCAAGGCTGGAGCCCAGCGCAGAGGACGAAGGTGACCACCAGCACCAGGACGGGGTGGGCGGCCCGGTCTCGGGGGCACTTCTGCCGGGCTGTGGACGTGCCGCAGCCTCTGGCGGTGCCTCTGCAGGAGAAGCTCCATGGAGCCACTGGCCCAGGCCCTGAGGCCGATAAACATGGCGTCGGGAGGGACCACAGGGGGACGATCCCTGCGGTGGGGCCGGAGGACGAGCAGAACCAGCAGTCTCGCGTGTCGGTGTCATTGCGTGCCCTGTGGCCCGGTCACTTTCACAGGAACATAGACATTCAGCAAGACGCCGAGCAGCCAGCAGGCACAGCAGCTCCGGGCGCCTGTTCCCGGACCCTCGCCCGCCATGGTGCCCCGGGGTGAGTGTGAGGAAGCCGGAGGTGCTCAGGACGCAGGTGGTGCAGAGGGTGGCGCTGCGAGCTGCCACGCGGACCTTGCACCGAGGCTGGGCAGGGGTTCCTGGGAACCAGCGCTGCCGTCGTGTGGGGGACCCCGGTGGAGAGAAGAACCAGGGAGGTGGCCACGGCCAGGCGGGCGAGAACAGGTGTGCGGGCCTCAGACTAAGGCCACGCCAGGTGCAGAGACGCCGTGGGAGAAGAGAGCGGCGCTGGCCAGAGTCCCGAACACGACCTGGGAAAGGAAGCCGGTGTCCAGGGCCACTTCCCTGCGGTTCTCAGAAGACACGGAGACGGCCTCACCGTGGCCTGCGTGGAGACCAGGCCGTGCCAGGCGTGGTGTCAGGACACCGCTCAGGTATGGAAAGGCCTTTTCTGCTCCTGAAATGTTCAGCACCACCGTTTTCCACAGGTGATTCAAGCTGGAGAGTGCACCGTTGACACCAATGACTTCTCAGTGATAATTCTGGATTTATGCCTACTGCGTTTTATAGTCTGACTGCCCGCCATGATGTAAACCCAGGAACTGGCACCCATTTCTGTCTTGTTTAACAATGAGGTGACATGAGAAATGTGGATGCTTCGTAAACGAACACGCCCAAGGAGTCACGGAGGGGATGCACAACGCCACGGTAAGGGT